CCAAGTGCTTCTGTGATAATGACAACAACAACTCTCGCAACATGTTTCGAGGTAGTGATACCGCATGAACTATTTTCATGATTAGACACAAACTCCAAAGGTAAACACAAATTTAATATTCGAACTCACACCTTCGAGATTTCGGTTCGCCGCCCCAGCTGTTAATCTATCAAGTCACACAAAGTTCAAAGCGGCCTCTTTATTCACGATGTTTAAATAAAAATCAGTTACAGTATAAGATTGTGATATTTGCTGTGTTGGTGTAATGTACTCAGGTGAATAAGATGCTTGTGTGATGTTACTCTGAGTGTATATCCACACTGGGCAGGCTTGAAAAATATGCCTGGCCATCGTGGATATACACTCCCACCATGGCCAGGCATGTTTTTCAAGCCTGCCGGGTGTGGATATACACTCAGAGTAACATCACACAAGCAGTATACAATTGTGTTATTGTGTACACGAATTTCCAGTGTAGAAATCATACAACTGAGAAATGAAGCGAAGTATTGTCAAACATTGCACTCCTCGGTCACAAATTATGTGGAATATGTTACTTTAACGTGTTTTGAACTCATCATATACTTCATCTTATATAATTAATGTGGATCAAAACAAAGAACGTAAACAAAGCCAGCGCATGCGCAGAAGGGACTGTAACCTACCTTTAAGGCGATTCAGAATTTTGCCGTACACTTCTGTGATGTTCTGCATTTAACGTTTGTGAAGATCAGTTTCCTTGCAAACTTTTCATCATTGATATATGTCGATCATATCATCAATATTTTATTCTTTCCATATTGCCTTTCTGCCAGCCACTTTCTTGTTTTTTCCTCTTTTCTAGTGGTACATCATAACATTTACTTTCGTCACCGCTGGTATTTTCAGAACGTTCATCCGAATCTGTTCGTGGTTTCCTGTTTCGCTGTTCTTGGTAATACGAAACTGATAACTAAATCCGCGCAGTTTTTGCAATAACCTACACTTTGCTGGGCGATCCAATTAACCAGCGGTAGATTCATCCAACTCAGCAAGACTGCATCCAACTTGATTACATATACAAATGCAGAACAGTTGGGTATAAATAAGACCAGCGTGATATCCGGTAAATTTGCTGATCATTAAGAGCAGTAGAAGCTTCTACGTTGCCCGCCATCACGACATACAATTTAATACACAATATTTTGAAATAACCATTTGCACGCGCAAGACACACTGGGAAGCGCATCCATATAGTATCCGCTGAATGTTTTGTTTAAGAGCGAGGGTGAATGATGCGTCCGACGACTATCAATGAGAAATAGGACCAAACCATTTTTTTATTAATTTGTGTTGACAGATGTTATAACATATGTCTCACTTTGTAATGTATCAGCTTTTTTCCATCCTGATGATGACCAAATATTAGCAAAAAGGTTGATAATCTATAAAAAAATGGAATGATTCAGAATATCCATGAATTCTATTTTATAAAAAAACATTTAATTTATATATTATGTTGGTTTCAAACGTCACAGTGTCTGTCTGTTGTTTGACATTACGTAATAAATCCGGCGCGCAATGTTGAGCAGGCCGGCTTCCGTGATGCGCCGGCTTCCGTCAAAATTAACATAATTACCGTGAAGTTTTAATATACTGACTTCGTGTCAACTGTATGTGAAACTATCTATACGCCATGGCATCTACATTTACTGTACGAAAGAACTCGAAGGAACTCTATCGCCGGCTTTAGGGTGGACAGGACATCAAAGTAAGGATATTTTATAGTCTATATTCTATAGTCTAGATTTATAGCTCATAGCTCGATTGTGTGCCCCGCCACTGCCCCATACACTTGGACAAATTAGTGTTACTTAAAATGGCTTATTATGGTTACTGTTTTATGCATTTCGTAGGTTAATTAATTGGGTTAGCTTATTGCTGTACTTGTTATTTAGTATTGCTTCTTACCATACTTTCTCTATATTTCGAATTCGTCTGAATTCATTAAAGATATATCAGTAAAGGACTAAACAATACAAAACCCGCCTATCTCGTATGCGTCAAAGGCAAAGTTCGAAACACTTACGGCCTCAACCAAACAGCCCGTAGGCTTACGACTATTTGAAAACGCTGCGCAAGAGCCATTATAGATAATACATTATACACAGGGAACTATTTTTATATGTTGTTATATGTTAAAGTGACAAAGTCCCGTAACATGATGCCACACATACCAAATGCATACAATATTTGTGTGCTGCGTATGTGTGCGAGTTAGGGCTATTGATGCAAGTTACTTCTTGCCGTCGTTACTTATCAAGGCCTTTGATAAGTGTTTGAGGTACTATTTAAAACATGAGCAGCAGTGTTTTGTCAGATATAAAGATACAAGGCGAAGCCGAGTATCTTTATATGTCTGATAAAATACGGTATACGCACTGCGAATGCGGTTTTGAATTGATTGACAAAGTAATTTTCAAAAAATACGTTGCGTAATTCGAGAAAATCAAAGTTAAATATGATGTCCACTCCTGTGCACATGCGCGAACTTTGTTTACGTTTTGAACTGCTATATTTGTAAAATATGATATACTAACTGAAATATCTAACACTTTTCTGGTTCGCTATAATTTTAAACTATGAATATAAATGTACGTTTCAATTCAAAAAAGTTCGAAAGATGCAAAATTTGGACAATGTTTATATCTGGGGGTCCCCCTGAGCAGAACTGATGCGCAGAACGGAGTGGACATCATCTTTAAATGTTATGTAAATCAAAGGAAATCTCTATCACATATACGACACGCTTATCACTTCGTGTTTTCCACATGAATTATTAATGAGTTTTTTAAATCAATTTAATGTTTAGGCAAGACATTATTCTACATTACAACACAAATGACGGACGTCGGTGTCTGTATATGACCAACACCATGGTCACGCTGCGACCTAAGAGTGATGACGAGATGGCAGATCTGTTGAAGGCCTGGGATATCATGATTACTCAGGCACCCAAGTATTACCACTATTGGACGGCGGGCGATATTGTCATTTATGACAATCTGGCTGTCATGCACAGAGCAGGCGATAAACGGTCCGGTTTTCCCCCTAGAGATCCACGAATGCTCTTCAGGACACAATATCACATCAGTAATACCACCAGAGAAAACAATTTGGACAGTCAATTTTCTTCATCACCTTCTTGATTTTCTTTTGACATTTGACAATTTTGTCTGAGAAAAAACAAACTAAACATCTGGCTATTGCTCACTTTCTCTAAGCAGGAAACCTAATTATAAGCATGGGTCGCATATGCATGTTTATTATTTGTATAATGACCTTGTGTTCGGCTGCAGATACATGCAATTTAACATATTAATTCGACCGTCACATAATCATCGTGATAACATTTGAATTAGGGCAACAACATGTGTCATGTTGCACTATGAATAACCGCTGTGATTAGAGCATTGTACTTCCATATATGTTTCCCATTATCAAATATGGTCCATCGTCATCACCTTTGCCTTAGTTATTCACTCGTTTTTGCCTTTTGTTTTGTACCACGAACCAATGGCCGTGTTTGAACTAACACATCTGTGTTAGTTTAAACACGGCCATTGGTTCGTGGTACAAAACATAATACATACGTGATGACCAGGAACTATTAAAGGCCCGCTTACACTTGTAATTATTCCAGCGATTTTAAGTTCGATTTTACTCTCTTGATGGATGCGAACGAGTGGATGAGTTATGTATGTTTATATGACATATACTCGGCACATTCATCACTCATCTGCTCGATCGCATAAACCAGAAGAAGAAATTCGCACTAGATGTTGCAAGTGTAAACGGGTCTTAACATAGATAATGAGTTATATTGTGTAAATGTGATAACTATAATGCTCAGTGGCGGAAATTCACTTTTCCGGTGTGGGGGCGGGGGCGAAGCCTTCTAAATTTCCGATAAAACTTTCAAATTTCCGACAATTCCCCACCCCCCCCCCCATTTGCACTCGAAAAGGCTGTTTTTATCATCCACTAATATAGACATGATTTTAGCAGCAGCCCCTAACCACGGGACCAAAGCCCGTATAGAACGCATTTTTGTATTGATAGTGTGTTAACAGATTTATAACATCGCCTCACTTTATATTGTTTATAGCTTTTGTAATTTTATTTTAAGAAAATAGAATATTAAATATTAATTTTTTATTAACCGAACGCGAGGTCTGTACAGAGAAATATCGGACTAAGGTCTTTTTTGTAATTTGTGCAAAAACCTGAGTCCGATATTTATTTCTCTGTACATATCGAGCAAGCAAGGTTAATAAAAGGTTTATTATATGCAGGCATTTATAGGCATTTATTCTTGAAACAAACACCAAATGCATGATCTGAAATGCATATTAGTAGCATGGTACACATTTGGTCTAACTGCATACCAAATTTTAGTGTGCAGTGATAACCAATTTGTGCAGTGATAAAAGTAAAATGTGCAGTGATAAAATGTAAAATGTGCAGTGATAAAATTTGCTTTGATAAGTTGTTAATTAACACAAGAAAATGAGACAATGTCAATGAGCAGAAAAACTAATCTGAACTAATCCGGCGAAACATTTTGAATGAGAATGATTTAATTGGAATTGAAATGATGACTGCCAAATTAAACGTCCGCACTAATAACATACTTATGGTTCATCAGATGAACAAAGTCTCTCACGAAAGATCTCTTTATGGGTTTGGAAGATGGAGTGAATGATACTTAAGATTTTGTAATTACTGTATAATTTTCATAATTCTATAGAATGTCCCCACGCATTGCAGGAGATGCCCTTTTATAGTACCTAGATTACAAAATTGTCTGTGGGTGGATGTCCCTGGAACTCCTCTAGAGATTTGTCACGCCAAAGCCCGCGTAAGCCGCCTTTCATTTGCCAAGAGGAAAATATTTAATTTCTTCAGTCATGTTATTATGAAACTAAGCTGTCATAGATAGTCGTAACTGCAGGTGCTGTCAAGGCCGCCCAGAGGGTTGCAATTTGCCCTGGGACCCGAGTTAAAGGGGGGCCCAAACAAAGAATTGCAGTGAAATATACCGCATAGATATAACTGTCAACTAGACTTCCAGAATGCAGGATATGGCCATTTCTGGGACCTCAGATTTCAACAGAGGGATGCCACCGGACACCCTAATCATAGTGTTAGAACATGGAATCACGAGAGCCCACAAGTCAAAGTTTGTCCTGGGCCCCCAAATTTCCCTGGTTGCTGTGCAGTGTATGTTCGTTTTGGCATTTTTTTAATATGAATTGTAGCCTGCTTTGTTGTTACACATTTTATAAGGGTGTGTTCAGAAATTTTCAGGGCGTGCTTCTGCTCGGCTAAACTTTGCACAAAAATGTGCAGTGATAAAAAATTCTTAAAATTAGGTATGGATGTACAACAACAAAACGTATACAAATGACAAAGATATTGCATCTGTTTTTAATAAGCATTTTTCTAGGATTGGTCATAAATTGAGTAAAGTTGTATAACCGCAACCACGTACTGATACGAGGTTTGAACTTAAACCTATACCTGTGGATTTTGTCCATGATCTGTTAAGCGGTCTTAAAGCGAATAAGGCTATTGGCCTTGATAAGATCAGCGCTCGGCTTTTAAAGGACGCCTTGGAAGTTATATCACCTGTACTGACTAACTTGATTAATCTTTCTATTGAACAGTCTTATTTCCCTAACAACTGGAAGTCCGCAAAAGTCATGGCTTTATTTAAATCCGGTGATAAATCTAACTGTAATATTTATCGACCAATTTCCATTCTGCCGACCGTTAGCAAGATCATTGAACGTACTGTCCATTTTCAATTTTATGATTACTTACAAGAGAATAAGTTACTTTCTATTAGACAGTTTGGTTTTAGGCGTAATCGGTTTACATCTAGTGCCCTATTACAGTTCACTGATGAGTTGTTAATGAATATGGATCGTGGTAAAGTATCTGGCCTCATCTACTTGGATTAAAGAAGGCATTTGACACTGTCAACCACGCAATTCTACTCCAAAAACTGAAATGGATTGGTGTAGACTCAAAGTCCTTACAGTGGTTCCAATCATATTTGAGTCATCGTACCCAGAAGACCGTGGTTAATAATTGTTATTCAAACCAGTGCAAAGTGTCTATTGGTGTACCTCAGGGTTGTGTTTTGGGCCCTTGCTTTTTTTGGTGTATATAAACGATCTCTCGTCGTGTTTACATCATACGCAAGCATCTCTATTTTCAGATGACACGGCGATCTACTGCGCAGCCTCTACTCCTAGTGAGCTTCAGACCAAATTGAATGAAGATTTGATCCATCTAAAATCTTGGCTTGATGAAAATAGATTATCCTTAAATTTACTAAAAACTAAATTTATGCTGATAGGTATTAGGCAACGATTGAAGAGTTTTGGTTCCCTTGAACTGTCTATTGATGATCATATTCTGGAAAGAGAAGATAGTTATAAATATCTTGGAGTTATGATCAATGAGACGCTTTCTTAGGCTGACCTTGGGAGAAAAAAGAAGGACACAACAATTATTGACGAACTAAAGCTGGAAATGATACAATTACTTCTCCTATGGGAATGGCTAATTGTCTTAATGACTATTTTACAAGTATTGGTGGTAAAATTGGAGACTCCTCTGACCACACTCAGAATTTAAATTTTGGCAGGCATACGAGTGATAATCTAAATACTTTGGAATTTACTTTGCATCCTGTTAACGAATCACAGACTTTTAGGCTACTTAACAATTTGTCTATTTCTAAATCTACTGGATAAAATACCGGCTAAAATTCTAAAATATTCTGCTTCTGTAATTACACCATCTTTGACCAATCTGTTCAACTCTTCTATTGGGATGGGAATTTTCCCGTCTGAATGGAAAATTGCTAGAGTTGTACCGCTTCATAAAGTTCATAAGAAGGGTTCACGCTCCGTTTTAGACAATTATAGGCCAATATCAATTTTGCCGGTTATTAGCAAAATATTTGAAAAGATCTTGTATGAGCAGTTATACGAATATTTTACCACCAATAATTTATTGTCTGAACAGCAGTTTGGGTTCAGGC